AGGATGAGCTTCAGACATTTATAGCTAAATGGCTGGACCTTGAGACCATACTCTTAAGTGAAATAAATTGGACACACATGTAAATACTGCATTGTTTCTCTGGTGTGAGAAACCAAAAGTGGAAATGACTAAAATGTATAATAGATATTGGGAAATGGGAAGAAAATGTTCAAATGGGAAGGGGAACAAGGGAAGAGGGAGGGAGAAAGGAAAGAAAGGACCCCCCCCCCAATTTTTTTTTGTTTATATCTCTGAATTTCAATTATAATTTAACAAATGTGAATCTCATTTCTGCCAACAACTAGTAAGAGGATTTAGGTCCTTGTTTGGCAGTTTTACTCCTCCCTCTGATTCATCTTCTGATGTGATAAAATATGTATGTCTTAACTCTCTTCTCTCTCACTAGAGGAAGAGCTAACTACTTTGGTCAGACACAGTGAAAGCTAGGGACTTTTTCCCTCAGAGTACAGAGATGAGCTCAACACTGCACGGAAGACCTCGTGTGGGAGCCAAAGGACTCAGTCTTGATGCTTGACTGCATTCTTCCAGGCAGGGTCCTTCCAGGAAACTGCCGGGAAAGGCCATGCTGGGGGCTCCCACTCACTCTGTTTCCTTCTTAGGTCCCCCCACTCCACTTTAATGTGAAGACCTCACCCTACCTCAACAGGAAGAAACTAAACACAGACATGTACTGCATGTTTGCATGGCTCACAGGGAGTTGCTTCCATCTCATCTCTGTGGACTAATATCTCTTTCTCTCTTCCTGTGTTTTTCTCTTTACATACTCTGTAGCTGCCTGAAAATGCTCAACCTGTGGTGAGTCCCTCTCTCCAGTCCACATGCAAGGGGAGCAGACCAGAGTAGGCTGGGAATAGCAAAGCCAAACAAAATGTCTTAGGAACATTGACTCACTCCTGTTTGCCTCCTTTACGCCATAACCACCCCAACTGGAGAACTAGGTCCGCAAAATGGGGCTGGGGCAGCTATTCCCAGGGATTAATCTAATCCTTCTTTCCTTCCAAATCCACCCCATTTATCACAGCCTCCTCCTGCCAGAGCAATATCCCACTTTACCTCATTAGTTAGCTGAATTTTCTCCCAAAGCAGTGTGTACAGATGTAATCAGAGGGAGAGGGACCGAGGTAAAAAGGCCAGGCTACTGTATTGGTTCTGTAGGTGGTCAGTGATGTTTCCTCACAACTTGAGAAAGATAATGTTGTTGCCAGGTAATCTCACATTCTGCAACTTGGTTTCTAACCTTGGTGCTTTTGAAAAATCATTGACTTTTCTTTCTGATACAGCTAGTTCTACCCCCTGTAGAGTAGAAGTCTCTCAAAAAAGACAACAACTGCTTCAGGGAGACATGGACATTTTTCTGTTGTTGTTTGGTTTGGTTTTTGTTTATTGTCTTTTTCTTTATTACTCTAAGTGTAGTGAGCCAAGGGCTGAGTCACCTGATGGAGATACTGGAGCCTGTCTTTTCTACTCCTGAGAAAAGCTCCTTGAATGCGTTCTTAGTAATAACAGGGTAGGGGGGAGAATAAGAATTCTTAAAAAGAACATGGAAGGAAAGGCCCTAAAGGAGGCATGTTGGTGAGGAACATTCTTGCTACAGGATAGGGCCCCTGCCTGACTGTCTTCCTGGACACTGCCTGTGACTTTCCAGGTGATCCTAATCTTGTTGGGCTGGGCAGTCTGGAGTTGTAACTCTCACGTTGCCTGCCCCTGTAGGGGCACCACCTGCACCACGGGTAACACCCTGGTGTACTCTGACTGCCTCACTTCTCTTTCTCTTCAGTGACTGAATTGGGCACTGATTTCTGATTCCTAATGTCCAGACTGAATTATCTGCAAGAGTTTCTCTGGGGATAGGGATGTATTAAAGATAACAGTTCGGTTTTATGGACTTAAGGTTTCAGTGAGCACGTTTGACCTATTTACTTTGCAAATGTGTGTTTGTATTATCTGACATTGTCGTGGTCTATATTTTTCCTGTGAGGTGTCAGTCATACATTCCCCACTGTAAATACTTAAGATCTTACTATGCTTATCCAAAACCTGTGGTTGGAAATCTAGGGTGTCCCAAGGTCTCCCCAAAGAGCTTTCATACCATCTAGCTGGAAAGAAAAGACAGACACTTGTGAAAGAACAAGGCACTCTCAAGGACAGTTAAAATATCATTCCTAGAAGGCTGGGGGTGGGGACAAGGGGTCACTGTGAATGGTCAAGGAAGACTTTATAGACACAGCAGGACTTGAGCCAAGCACTATTGGAAAGGAAGGATGTGATAGGGAAGAGGAGCTCAGCCGAAGGTGAAGGGAGAGAGCCAGGCATGGTAAGAGAGTGATGTGATAGTAGTACTGGGTTAGAGGCTTGTAGTAAGAGCACTCTGTGCCTTGTGAGTGGGAGTCTTGGAACAGTTATAACTCTGGAAGAACTTCTGATCATCCAGTCAGAGTCTGCTGGAAGGCAGCCAAGACACAGGAGGAGTTGGTCACTCACTGGCCTAGTCCATTTCAGTGGGGCTTGCCACTGGCAGTCACACCAGAGTTGAAGAGCAAAGTGGGGGGGTGGCTTTCTTTTTTCTTTACTCTGGGGTCGGGGTATGTAGTGCTAGGACTTGAACCCAAGGCCTTGCACATGTCAGGCAAGCACTGTACCACAGCTACATCCCCAGTCCTGTTTTATTTTATTTTGAGACAGGATCTTGCTAAATTGCCTTAGTGGGCCTTGAAGTTGTGATCCTCCTGCCTCAGCCTCTTGAGTTGCTGGCTTTACACACATACACCAAGATGCCCAGCTTCACATTAGGTTGGACATGCTTATAAGCAGACATTAATTTGTTTGGCTTGCATTGGAGAACATAAGACAAGTTATTGTATCATTGATACATTGGCCAATGTATCAAACATTTTTACTGTTTTTATTTAAAAATACAAAGTCATCATATTAGCAACCTCCCAAAAGGATAAGAATAGAAGCCAAAGAGAGTGGCACATACCTGTAATCTTAGGTATTTGGGAGGCTGAGGCAAGAGAATTGCTAGTTTAAGGCCAATCTGGGCGAGTTAGACCTTATCTTAAAATAAAAAAGAGCTTGGGATACAGCTCAGTGGCAGAGGACCTGGCGTGTGCAGCTTCTGGGTTTAACTTGTAATACCCCTACCCCACCCCCCAAAAAAGAAGCCTCTGAAAATCAAGGTTAAGAGGAAACAGGTGAGACTGTTGAGATATTGGTGCTCCTGTGAGATTTAATTTACCCCTTGAAATATTAATTGCTGCACATTCAACTTGGAAAATGTCCATTTCTAATACATATGTACAGTTACCTCCTGGCACTTGACTGCTCTGAAACTCTCATCCAACATGGTCTTTGGCACATTTTGATGAGAAAGAAAATTTTGTGCCGTACTCATCACATCTCCTGGAACCAATTAACAATGAGTACCAAGCTATCACTGTACCAAAAACCAGTCTTTTTTTTTTCCCTTGAATTCTTCCCCAAGGTTTCCGTTGAGGACTGTTTTAATCAGAAGTATTGATCATTTTTATTTAAAAGAATATATTCAGCTTCTTAATACATTTCACACTTTGATTACTAACTGTATTTATACCCATTAATAGTAGTCCATTAATTTGGATAAATTCTAAATGTCATTAATATAGTCAGAGAAGAAATTTTAAGACCTCTTGAGAAACTCCTGTGTTCAAAATTTCCAAGTTTAATTTATTCAGATTTGGCTAAAGCTTATCAGCATCTGCATAAGTGTTTATTTCTGCATTCCAAGAAACATCATGTTTCTGATGAGGTTATTGGATGTAGTAATCCTAAAGGGTCTTAACTGAACGGGATTCTTAGCCTCAGTGAAGAACTTATGGTTATGGGAAGTGACAGCGTTCTTTATTTCTATATGAGTATTCCTGGCTTTAAACCTGGAAGGATTAGGCAAGAGACTTACAGATAGTTTTCACAGAAAAGCTCTTTTTCCCCTGAGTCCAGCAAGTGTAAGCTACACTTCCAACTTCATTCTCTTCCATTATCTGACATCTTTGACTCCTTCTCTGCCTTCTGCCCCTCATATCCTCACTTCCCCCTTGTCCCTTCCCCAGAGAGAACATACCTCTTGCTCCATCCTTGCATATCCCTCTTTACCCACCTCTGATTGCCTAAGCAAAGTCCAAAGACTACAGGAGGAGGGGATGCCTGGCTCAGGGAGGTGCTGGGCTGTCTGCTCCCTAGGAGGCAGCACGTGGAGGGCCATGAAGGAGACCTGGGCCTCTGCCCTAAACAGGACCCATTCTGGAGCCATCTAGCACAGCAGCACTGCTCTGAAACCTCCCAAGTATGAGCTCCTGGACTGGGATTTTGATCCCTCTAGATGAAAAGGGAGCTGTGCTGGTGTAAGGAGATGGGGTTCACTGTTCCTGTGTGAATTGGGGCTTCTCCTGTGTACTTCAGGTATTGGTCCAGGGCAGGAATGGGGGTAGAGAGAATCAGTCTGCTCATTGGTACCATCTTGAGATCCTCCCAGAGTTCTAAACTTTCTGTGTTTGCCTTAGATTAGCTTCACTTCCCTCTGGCTAGTGAGGTGTACTAAATGATTTGTCCTTGGTATCAAGGAGCAGAAGATAAAGTGCTACTCTTGTGCAGCTCTGAGGACCCCCAGCCTTGGTTCAAGACAAAGATGAAGCATCTGGGTTGCTTATTAGACTGGGAAGTAAGCCCTCTTCATCCTCCTTCCAGAAATGCCTTGCAGCCAGGCATAGCCCACAGCATTTTGATAATTAGGTTGGGCAGCTGCACATTGAAATTAAGCAGCTGGTTCCCTTAGCTTTCCTGGCAGATGATTCTCGCTGCCTCAGTGTGTGCACTGTTGATGGTGGGCAGCCCTGAGGGTGGGTACCAGGGGGAAGTCCCACTCCCTGCAGTAAGCAGGAGGAGTCAAGAGGTCTGCCAGAAGCTGTAGGCCTCTAGCACTGACAGTGTTCCTTGTGCTGCAGGTGCTGCTGTTTCTTTAAGAGGAAAAGGAAGAAGAACGCTCAGCGCCACAAGTGACCAGTGCCTCCTATGAGTCCTCAGGCCCTGGGGACTCTGACTCCATTGCACCTGCAGCTCCTGCCATTTCTCATTGGAAGGAACTATTCTGTGGGGGAGGATGGAGATCCAAACCAAAAAGAAGAAAAGATAACCCCAGAAGGAGCCTTTGCGGGCAGCCAGGGCCCCGTGGCTCAGGGGCCACCCCTCCTTCCTAAGCTCTGAGCAGGTCCCAGAGCTGCTGCTCCTGCACCGCTTGCCCTGGGGCTGCCTGGTAGACTTCCTTCCCATTGTTTACAGTGAAGGTGTCATTCACGAAAACTCAAGGACTGCTACTCTCTTCCCTCCCCTTCTTTACTCCTGGTTCTCGTCCCACCCTCAGCCTCTCCAGCATAAAGGCTAGTAAGCTAAAGGTTTTGTGTGTGGAGGGGATGCCCAGGGTGGGTACAGCCAAGAAGGTAGGAGGAAAATGGCAGACCCAGGGCAGGGCTGGAGAAGAATCTTCTTTCTCCACTTCCCTGTGTGTCTGTAGCATGGCTTTCTCTCCTCTGTGCCTGGGCAGCCTCCACGGAGGTGGCCACAGGGTCAGGTTCCTTCCTCCCTCCCTCCTGTGAATTTACACTGTAGGATGCAAGCTGTGAGAAATCTGCAGTCTACTGTCCCCATGTGGTGGCGTTCTTAGCTTTCTTGACAAGTGAGTTCCTTTTTCCAGGCAGTAGCAGGACATGCAAATTGTTCTGAGCAAGGAAAGAAAACTGACTTTATTGCACTTTTAGTTTGTTTGTTTGTTTGTTTGTTTTTTTAAACAACATGGCAGATGCATATTGTGTCTAGTTATATTGGGGCTTTTACTTTTTTCTGTTTTGAGGGGGATGGGCCAGCCAAGCCATTCAGAGAGAACGTGGGTCCAGAGGACATTTTCCATGAAAAGAGTTTGATCGCAGCACCTAGAAGAAAAGAAGCCAAACTCTGTCATTCTGAGTGAACACTCAGGTTGGCAAAGAAACATACTTGAATTTTCATTCATCTTCTCAGCTGCTGAAGAATGTCCCTTCCAGAGCCTCTTGGCCTAATCTGCCTGCAGTCCATTAGCTCTCCAGCACATGGGTTAAGCAGCAAGCCAGACTGTGACCAAAAGACAGCTCACCCCACAGAAGGAGATACTTAACAAAAATCGAAAATGTCTGTTTCCTCCACTGCCAGGGATTCCTGCTCAGTAAGTCATGTGACTTTCTGGTGACTTTGGCGACAAATTAGTGATGAAACAGCCACCACTACATTGCTACTAGTGGACAAAAAGCAGACAGTGAACCTGCCTTCCAACTGCCAGAGAAGCCTCAGGGTGTGGCATCATAGGGCCAGGAGAAGAAAGTCAGTGTGTCCCGTCTGCTCTAAGAGCTAAGTTGTAATATCTGGGCTGGCTTGCCTTACCTGAAACCAGGCCCATAGCATCAGGACCTGGGGCTTCGAGAATAGGAATGTAGGATTGGTTGGTGCTGGGAAGCTCCAGGGAAAAGGAGACTTAACTGAAAGATCTGAAATTACCTTTTTAATTAGACGTAACTTGCTGATAAGATGGCCATGCATCTGAGCGTGTTTTCCCCACTATATCCAACACTCCCACCAAGGTGGCTTCACAGGACATACCACCATGAAGCGTCTTGGTTCCTCATTCACTGTTTGAAGTTAGTAATGTCTGGAGTTAATCTTCTCATGCTGCATTTTCAGTTCAAGGGGCTTTCCAAACAGTGGCTTCTCATCCTGATGTAACAGAGGAGAAAGGATCATTTACCTCAGGGGAAGAAATCTTGCATCCAAGAGCAGAGAGTTAACTATGCAGGACCATAGCTGGCTTAGTCTGGTGGGATGGGGAGCATAGAAATGTTTGCCCATACCTTAAGGCTCTGGCCTGCCTATTGGACTGGAGGACGTGGGCGTACATTCTGGTAGGTGGCATTTCCTGACAAGTCCTGTGATGTACCTTGTATGAATCAGAAATGCCAACACTCAACATGAATTGGAATGCCAGACTTCACCTGTTCCATGGGACCCAGTCTTGGGAAAATCATTTCACTGGCTTCAAACCTGCTTAGCTTATGTAAAGACTGCAATCTGCCATTTCTTTAAGGAAAAACTTTTCAGTGTATGAAACATGGAGTGGCAGGGTCGCACCCCTTCCCCACAAGGACTTTGACTGTTGGGGTATGCTTGCCTGCCATGGATAAAGCCCATCACTGAAATTTACAAAGCCTCATTTGGCATATGGGCAACTCTAACTTCCTATATAGAAATTTTAACTTCTTCATCCCTGTGTAGAAAATGGCTTGCCTTTCAAGGGAGGGCAGGTGAAATGATGGCAAAACCTGGATCATCCTGGCTCACTGTACCCCACTAAGTGCCTCCCCCAACCTGCTTCCACAGAAAAGCAAAGGCAGTGGCCAGCTTGGCTGTAGGGCAGGCTGCCTTACAGCTGGGTTTGTGACTTTTTGTTTTATAATTTTTATAGGCGAGCTCTTGAGGGGTTGAACCTGAGCAGTTGGGGGGTGGCTTCCTAATGCACTATTCTCACCCTCCAACCTTCCACCCCCAACCTCTTACTAGATGTTTGGTTTTCATAGCAAAGGTGAAGAGCCCCAGGTCCCTTTAGCATGTAGGGTAATGGTGAACCTTCCAAGGCCATGGACACACTCCAAGATGGTCCCAGACCTGAGAGATTCTGTTATGGTCGTCCACAGAATCAAGCCACCTGCCCCCTATAAAACAAAAACTGAGGACCCTGCAAGCAATTTGGCCATCAGTCCCAGCCTTGCCAGCACTTCAGGCTCCCTCAGCCCTATTGCTACTGTTGCATGTCTGTGTACCCCAGCCAGGTTCTGGGGGACAGGCACTCCTTCCAGCCTTCCACCCAGAGTCTAGTTTTTGAGCTTTCTCCATTTCACAGCCATGATGCCTGAGGATCATTTTCTTTGGGATCGATGCAGTTGTTTTCCTTTAAAGCAAATTCAGTATCTTTGCATTTTTAAAAGCCCTTAAGACATGAGGAGTTCTCTAAAGCACTCCTATCCATCAGATGCTGCAGCCTGAGTGGATGGAGGCCAGCAGACCAGGATACCACCAGGGCATACAGCATCTCCACTTGTGATTGGACCAGGGCTTGTGCCTGTGCACTTATGCTCCGAAAGTGTGACGGAATATCCTAGCAGCCAGTGTGCACTCATGACTGCTTTAATACTATTTTTTGGGTCTGTCTAGGAAGAAACAGAGTCTTGGAAAATATGAATCAGGTGACCAGGTGAAATTCAGTTTAGAAGTTTAGAATGCATATGCTACAGGAGACACACTGAGGTGTCCAGTAGAAAAAGTGATGATTTCCTGTTTATTTTCAGTTCATTCCAAGTACATAAAAACAGTCCCCTACACTTTGCCTCCCAAAGTCACTTCCAACTTAACAGTGGAAATGCATGCTGGTAGTGCTTATTCAGTGTTCACTTTCAGTGTTAGTAGCCACTTTGAATGTGAGGAATATGCACTGCGGTAAAGTTATTTTAGAATGGTTACTAATGATCATAGCCTTAACTCATTTTTGGTTTTTGGTTTTTCTTGAACAAGCATGGACTTCATTTCTCAAAAATAAGACCACGTCTCTTCAAAGAAACTGGTCTTTCTGATGCATCTTTCTGAAGGCTACATGCTTCCCAGCCACCTCTTCTGTGTTCATATCAAGCCCGTTGTCCATTCCCATCAAATTGCCCTGACAATGTTGTCTCTAATGTCGGAGCCATGCTGGGGCTGGAGTTGCTCAAATTGGGAGTTTGAAGGGTCCTTCAGCCAACATTGCCTTTTCCAGGCTACTGCCACCAGCCCCACCATTGCCTCACGGTAGGCAGCTGAACTCCAGAGACCCTCAGGAACCCCATCTGGATTGGCCATGTTGGTGATAGGCACTTACCTCTGGGGTTCTTGGTTTACAGACTTCAGGGAAGCCCCGTCTAGAGGTTGGTGGTCAGTGACTCCTGAGATTTCCCATAATGGGTTGGCAGGAATCAAAGTGGGTTTAGGGGTTGGTTTGTTAGGGGGTGGTTTTGTTTCTGTGTAAGGAAAAGAAGAGGCAAGCATGGCCCTCCTTGGGTTTGTAGAATTTTGAACAATGTTTAGCCACAGTCTTGGGAGTCTTTGATCCAGCAAACAGTCTTAAAAATGTTTTTCCTAACTCCCTTTGCACATGACTTAAGTGCAAAAAGAATAGGTTTCTCATTGTATTCACAATAGTAAGTAGGTCCCCGAATATAGACAGTAGTACAGTAGTTGACATATTTTTCTCAAAATGAACCAGAAAACCCACTCTAGTATTTGTAGATCATCTTACAAAGGAAAAAATGAGCATTGTACTTCATGTATTTTTAGTTTGCTTACCAAACTTGATGTTTTAAAGAAACCTCAGTTGGGTGGACAGAATTTTTTTCTCTCTCTCCACCGTAACTTTTCCAGTGCCATCGCCCCCTTAAAGGTCTCAGAGCAGAGGATTATCCACTGTAATAAGTGGGGTTGTAATCCCAGTGACATTCAGCACAAGAGGACTGCTGGCATAACTGGCCCCAAGTTCCTCTTTCAGGGTAGGTGTGACATTTTCATTGTTCCTCTCGTGAGCTCCAGGCCATCCCTACACCGAAAGCCTTTTTAAGGTTTATGTATTACTGTCAGGAATGTCTCAGGAAAGATGAGCCATTTCTTTGGGGGGGTACATTCCCAGATGGGGGTATATGATTGTGTGTGTCCGCACATGCGCTCTCCTCTGTACATTTCACTTTGATAAAAACTCCTGCTAGGCTTCGAGGAACCAGGAGTTCCTGAGTTTTACTTGTCACAAGTGACAAGTGAGCTTCTCAAATCAGTGTCTCAGCAAGCTGGCTCTGGGAATGAGCCCCATTCATCAAGGAGAGAGAAGAAAAACAGTAGAAGTTAAAGAGGTAATACCAAAAATACTACAAATCCCCCCAATGGAAAGTAATGTTGATGCAACAATTCCCATTGGATATATTACATCTTCTAATTTATTATATTATTCTTTGTCTGTTTCTTTAATCTTTGACCATTGTACTCTTAAAAAGATGTTGGGATGTTGATTGCAATTTTTAAAAAACTAGATAATGTATAAATCAGCTGTGGAAATCGGTTTTAATGGATGTGTGGATGTGTCTTGATTATTAAATGCCGTTTTTTAAAAAAATATATGTAATGTTTCATAAACCCTGGCACTGGTTGCAACGCTCAGCTGTGAAAATGAAACTTACAGTATTTTTAAACATGAATGTCAATTTCAAATGTATTTGAAGTGGTTCCTCCAGGCAAGAGATTTGTACACCATAGAGGAAAACTCCTGTGCCGAGGAAGTAGCCTTCTTTGGAGAAAATGGAAAATGGGTCCTGCTAATATTTCTCAGAGTAGCCCATTTCCTAGGGCACCATGGAAAACACAAATGTGATCTCTTAAGTATACCTCTTCTCCAATTTGGGGAGGACAGGACTCAGTTTGCACCCTTTTTGTATGTAAAATAAAATGTCTTACCTTCTTGGCTACTTTCACTTGTTTGGTTCGTTGGTTTGTTTTTAGTCTCCCCTGATGCATTTTTAACTAGGAATCTGGCTAGGAAAATAATGCCTGATACTTTGGCGTTTTTGCTTCATTCCTTTAAGTTGAATATTGCCTTCTATGGGTCATTTCCAAAATAAATAGTCCTAGAATATGGCCATTATCACTCAGATGTTTCTGTATCCCTGTCCTCGGGGTAGAACACTAGGAGGTCAGACTGCTCTAGGACACTTTGGTAACTTTATTTTGTTCTGCTTACAGATTTAACTGTGGAAAAGGGAGGGGGCCAAGAATGATGCAGTTCAATGGGTAGAGTGTCCCTAAGTTCCATCCTCAGTTAAAAAATATATATCCATTGAGCGTTAGCTCCTTGTGAAAGCCCACTTTGAACACATACTGGGTGCTTTTTTCTCAGTGGCTCTAGGCAGCATGAGACCAAGGAAAGAGGTTCACATCGCCCCACCCCTGAGAAAGGCAGGACTGGGGAGGCAGATTTGGAAAATCACCGTCAATGTCAATTTCTGAAGAACCTCCACCCAACTCGGTTACAAGGTTAGAAAACAAGTCGTTTGTGTTTACCCGACAGCTGCAGAGACATCTGGTGTAGAGGGAGGACAGGCTAGGGAATGGCCCAACAACTCAGCACCCTGTATAGAAACCAAATTGCAGAGCTCAACTGTGGAAACGGAGCTGTGCCTACTATTTGGCTTCTATCAAGTTAATCTTTGAAAACTTTTTTGTTTGTTTTGGCCACACTGGTAATTGAACCCAGGGCCTTTACACTGAGCTACATCCCCTGCCCTTTTAAAACTTTTATTAAAGACATTTAACAACATACATTCACATTTTAGAAAAATGTGTCATGTTTATTTTTCCGGGTGTACAGAGTCCTGGTACTGAAGTTATGTATGTTGTAGACTGGAACGCCAATTGTGTGTTGTCTTAAAATAGTCCTGTTTTGTATGTGATCACAGTGACTGTCCTAAGACCTCTGGAGAAGAAGAGATGTCAGCTTCGGGCCATGTTAATGCAAAGCTGTCTCAACCCATACCTGAGTCACAGTACTTTGTTCAAAAAAATTTAAAACGTGGTGTTGTTGTGCCCAGATCACGAGGTCCCCAAAGACCACCAAGGAGCCAATTCCAATGCAAACACACGAGGGTCGTTTATTCAAGCTCGAGCAGGGACTCTCATCCGACACCGACGCAGCGGGTCAGGATTGAGAGCCCCGACTCTAAAACACCAGGGGTTTTTATAGAGGTTACACCAAGGCGCGGGGTTTCAAATCACACGCAAATCACACGATTGGCTAGCATTTAGCAAGTTTTGAAAGTTTAAACCTAATTGGTTGGGCCTTGCGCGCTGAACTGCAAACGGCTGCTCAAGTCATCGAAAAGAACATCTGGGATACTGGGGTATTGGGGTAACTACTGATTAGCTTTCGCAGGCCATGAGAAGAGCATCTGGGACATTGAGGCAGCTACTGATTAGCTGTTGCTAGGCTAGTTGCTAGGGGACTGCTGAACATTATCACAGGCAGGTGGCCAAAGTACATCTTGTGGTTTTTCATGGAACTAGAATTTATGTCCAGGCCACCTTACTCTAAGATGGGGCCAAATTTTAAAATGGAGTTACTCAGGTCTCACAGTGTAATTTTTAGAAAGGGCAAAGAAAGCAAGTTAACCAGAATGTAAACCAGCATGGTGGCACAAGTCTGTAATCCCAGTACTTTCGGAGGCTGAGGCAGGATTGTAAATTCGAGCCCAGCCTGGGCAATTCAGCAACTTAGCATGACCCTGTCTCAAAATTAAAAATAAATGTTAAAAGGGCTGAGAACATAATTCAGTGTGAAGGCCTCTAGGTTCAATCCCAGTGTAAAGAAAAAAACGTGTTTACTTTAGAAAACAAAGTTATGCACCAGAATATACAACAGTGTGCACTGACTCATGCAGTGGAAGCAGAGGAGAAAAAAATGAGTTTTGCCAGACGAGGAGCTGTAGGTTTTACTGCACGATTAAATGTGCCCAGAAGTTTTGGAAGCTACCACGCTTAGACCAATGTAATGACCAGCGTGGCCGGACCACGTACACCGTGACAAGCGACCCCAACCCTCACCCAGGTCCAGGGACTTCCCAGGGCCTGCGGGGCGGGGTGGGGCGGGGTGGGGCGGGGCGCGCTGGGTTCGACATTCACAGGGACCAATCCCCACGCTCTCCCCCTGCCTCCGCCCGCCCACCGCGCTCGTGGGGCGGGCGCACGAGCCGTGAATCCAATGAAGGCGCAGTAACGTGGCAGCCACCCGCGCCTCCGCGTTCTCCCACCCGCCCCGCACCTGCCCCGCCCCCTCGGGGATCTACCACCCGGTTCCCGGGTGGAGGGGGAAACAGTGCCCGGCCCCCGCCAGTCCGCCGCCCGCAGCCCTGGGGCCCCCCGCGTGGTGGTGGCGCCCGGGCATGCCGCCGCGTCCCCACCCTTTCCGGCCTGGCTACCCGGCCTTGCTCGCTCCTCCCGGTGAATGCTGCGCCTTTCCGAGCGCAACATGAAGCTTCTCTTCGCCGCCGCCCTCATCGTGGGCTCAGTCTTCTTCCTGCTGCTGCCGGGACCCTCTGCGGCCGACGAGAAGAAGAAGGGGCCTAAAGTCACCGTCAAGGTCTGTGTGCCCCTCTCCCGCCCCGCTTCGGTCCGGCTCCGGCCCCGCTGACCGCGGGTGTCCGCCGCTCGGCCCGGGCGTCCTTGGCTTCAGCGCAGCCCCTCCCTGGGTTAGCCGTAGCCTCGTAGCGCCTGGGTTGTCTGACTTCCAAGGCCCAAGAATGACCCCGATTCTCCCCGACATCCCCTGACCAGGATCCTCCCCAGGACACCCCTTTCTTTCACCTACGGGGAGTCCTGAGGGCCTGAATGCCCGGCGAGGCCAGCACTGACGGCCTCGGGGCAGCCTTTATGCTAAGACCCTGCAGTGCTGGGGAAATGCCCAAAAGATCGAGTTTGCCTCACTTTCTCTCCCTTTACGCCAGTTCTTAGCCACTTGAAATTGCAGAGCACAGTAAATACAGCTTAAACTTGCATCGTGAGTTTAGATTTCCCTCCTTTTTAATGTTAGTTTATATGGGCTTTTATTTGAAGCAAAGATGTTATCTTGCAGTGTAAGGAGAGCATGTACAAACATATTTTTCGAGTAAAGGGCTTGACGCTTTCCTTAGATTTTTCATAGGATTTTTGTCTCCATCAAAATCATATTCAGAACCACTGCTTATTTTTAAATATGGCTCAGGCTGGACACACTGCTGTACCCCTATAGTCCCAGCTACTTTGGAGGCTGAAGCAAGAGAATGGAGAAAGCCAGCCTGAAAAACATGGGGAGCCCCTGTTTCGAAAAGCGGGGGGTGTCTGTGCTCCCTCCTTGGCTCTCCCCTAGGAACGCCCTCTTCAGACTGAGTTTGAAATCATCTTTTTCTCTCAGGTGTATTTTGACCTACGAATTGGAGATGAAGATGTGGGCCGGGTGGTCTTTGGTCTTTTTGGAAAGACTGTTCCAAAAACAGTGGATAATTTTGTAGCCTTAGCTACAGGAGAGGTAAGTGGCTGGAGCAGTGGTTGTCACTTCATTGTAGCAGAGGTGGCAGCAAACTGGAGTGCGGGCCACAGCCCATCATGTAATGGAAGCCTTTGCTGAGGACTGGCTATGGCCCTGGGGACCCTGTATTGTCATCTTACGTGTAAAGGGCCCAGAGTTCCCCTGGGAGACTTTATCCTGGGATACCACACTGGGTTTTAAGAAAACAAGAGCACCCTTAGCCAGGTGAGGTGGTTCACATCTGCAGTCCCAGAACTCCATAGACTTGAGTCAGGAGGACTGTGGCAAGTTCAAGGCCAGCCTAAACTACATAGCTGTCTCATTGCATTGGGCCAGCAGATGGCCTTTTCCCCCTGTTTTCTTCCATTTGTTCTTGTGATTAGAGGAGAAGGGGAAAACCACTACATCACATAGGATTGTGTAAAGCTGGGAACTGTACAAAGGCAGAGGATGGTGGAGTCTCAGCCTTTCCTGAGTCTGCTTCGTGCCTGGCCGACAGTGGGGTCTTTTCTGGGGGCAGGAGTTCCTTCTGGGTTCCTGTGGGGCCTGCTTGATGTTTGCATGCTGCCTCATGCCACTCCCATGCCTTCTCCTTTTTTCTAGAAAGGATTTGGCTACAAAAACAGCAAATTCCATCGTGTGATCAAAGATTTCATGATCCAGGGCGGAGACTTCACCAGAGGAGATGGCACAGGAGGTAACTTTGGGGCAGAGGAGGCTGTCAGTGTAGCCTCCAAGGTGGAGAGCTGGGCTGTGTGGGGCGGGGCAGGCCAGGCTTCTGTCCGAGACTGTAGAGACAAGCATCTGGCCTACACAGTGACAGCTGTCCCCAGCCGACCAGAGGGGAACGTCACAAAGGAGAGGGAGAAAAGGGGTCTGGTGGACCCAAGAGGGTCTCTTGGGTGCAGACCTGGAGTGCACTCCAGGCCTGCAGTGGATGACTTTTCTCCCCTATTCTGGCGGATGAGGCTGGAGGGCTGGCGTGGCAGCAAAGTACAGGCACATGGATGGGCAAGAAGCCTGTGTGCTCCAGCTTGAAGGCCCCAGCCAGGGTGTGAGGAGCTGCTGTCCTTGGTGGACCTTACCAAGGATCAGGATAATCAAAAGAACAGAAAGGCAGACACCTTGGACTAACTGCTTAGATGCCCAGCCTGCTGCTTCCTCAGACCCCAGGAAGGGGGCACCAAGGGTAGAAAGCTCAGCAAGCAGCCACCCCCAACCAATACCTGAAGATTCCCTAGGGGGCCATAATACAATGCTTAGGACTCGGGCTTTGCCCTCAAGTTGTTCATCATCGAGGTAGGAAGAAGTAGAAGCCTTGAAAGCTACTTAGTGACACAAGACTTGAGAACTAGCTAAAGACAGTAGTGCTTGTGGAGTCAGACACAGCTGGATTGAACCAGTGTCTGCCACACTTTTACTTGTGGTCTCAGACAAGGGAGTCCTCAGAGCCTCTGTGTCCTCTTCTGTACAGGAATGGGGGCAAGGATGGTGGGCACACAGAGGCTCAGGTGAGATCTTGGGTGTTAGTTAGGTGCTTAGTATGTGGTGAGTGCCTGATGAGATCAGGCCACAGGGACCAGAGGGGTTGGCCCTGTGAGTGGGAGAAGTGGTTCCAAATGGACACGGGTAGGTTAAGCTGTGAGCCCAGCTCTGTTCTGCAGCAGGAGCTTGGCAAAGGGGAGGTGGGGCTGGAAGTAGAACACACCTGGTACAGAGAGGTGGGGTTTAGCTAGAAGCCAGGCTTTGCACTCTTAAGGATTAGGGTCCTGCTGAAGGTGTGGATGGAAGGACAAGCCTGTCCCAAAGGGTGAGATGTGGCAGGTTTAGGATGTGGCACTGAGGGCCAACTGCTGCTGAGATGTTGTGCAGCTGTCCTGCGGTGGGCAGCCTGGGCCTGGAGCCCTGCAGTGTAGCTGACTGGGTGTGGGCAGAGACCTGGGAATCAGGCCACCTCAGTTTGGATTCCAACTCTGCTGCTTCCCAGCTGGGTGCCTTTTGACCTCTGTCTGTTTCTTCCTCTCTGAAATAGTTATTAGCTCCTGGCTCAAAGATAGATTGTTAGACTGAAATGCCTGGAACAGTCTCTGCCCTCCTGTTTGCCCACCAGGGATCGTGATGGTTACAGGAAGGAAGGAAAAGGACGAACACATGGGGTGGTGCCAGCCTCATACAGAGGAAAGGTCACCAAGAGTGGGGTCTGGAAGGCAGGATGCCGATTCTTACTGGGTTTCAGGTGAAGAACTCCCCTTTGGAGTTTGGGAACGTCCTTGGAACTAATAATATAGTTGGTATTTTCTGGATAGCAGCAGTAACTGAGATCCTTTGATTGGTTGGGGCTTACAGAGGACCCGTAGGAGCACCCCACCCAGGAGTCTCACCACGGGAAGGTGGCCACCTAGCCTCTGCCCAGCTGCCACACAGGTAGATACAGCCCCGCTGATCGGCCATTCTTGGCTTTCAGTCTGACCACCAGGGACATGGCCAACACTGACTCCCAGTCACTCTCAGTCAGGGGCAGTCTCCCAGAGTCCAAATGATTTCTTTAATGCAGGCTTTCTCCAGGCATTTCTTGAGTCCACTGAGGCAGGTATGAGTCTCCAACAGGTAGCAAGGAAAAAGAAGGGTCCCAGTGCTTCTCTCCTGGAGCTGGCTGAGGAGTGAGGTGGCATAGAGAACTGCACTCCTGGCTCCCTGTCATCCAGCCCAGCCCTGGACGCCACAGGAAGAAGACTCATGACACAGATCCACCAGTGCCTTTTATTATGCTCATTCCTTGCAAGAGAATCTCCAGAACTCAAACAGCAGCCACTCTGTGGCTTCTCCCACCTCTCCGTACCCATCTCTGTGCTGGAGCTGTGCCTCTCTTCTGTGTTCTTGGGAGGCCCAGCCAGTCAGCCCCAGAGCGTCCTCCACCAAATCCCTCAGGTCACAGCCAGGCTAGGGGCAAGTAGGTCCTCGTCAGAAGCCACGGTCATCTGTCCAGTGTGCTGTTCCTGACATCATTCTGGCTGACCCAACAGCCCTCACCCCACTGTCTCAGTCAGCAAGGTGTGGCTCCAAGGCTACAGGAGTGTGTGTGCCCGGGCACCACTTGCACCTAGCCTGGCACAAAGGACTGGTTGAGCTGCTTGAAATCCTCACTGCAAAGGTCTGCCTGCTGTGGGTCAACCCCGCTCCCCAAACTGCTCTGCCTTCTTCCTAGGCAAGAGCATCTATGGCGAGCGCTTCCCCGATGAGAACTTTAAGCTGAAGCACTACGGCCCCGGCTGGGTGAGCATGGCCAACGCCGGCAAAGACACCAACGGTTCCCAGTTCTTCATCACTACAGTCAAGACAGCCTGGCTAGATGGCAAGCATGTGGTGTTCGGCAAAGTTCTAGAGGGCATGGTAAGTCCTGGAGGCTGACCCGAGGCAGTCCCTGCTGCTGATGCAGCACAGACCCTGGGGCAGGGGCTCCTTGGATTTTATCCCATTCTCAGAAGAACCCAAGCACAGATTGAGGGCAGTGTTCATGTCTCCTAACCTGGGGGTAATCAAGCATAAACAGCCCACACCCAGCTACTCGGGAGGCTAAGACAGGAGGATCATGTGAGCCTAGGGTTTCGATGAGGCCAGCCTGGGGTACGTAGCAATAACTCATAAAACAAAAACCCAGCCTGCATCTCCAGGCCCCGGCAGAGCCCAGCCAGGCTTGTTGAAACCACACAGTTGTGGGATCCTATTCATCACTCACTAAACATGGATGTGCGGGGTGCAGCTGAACATGATGTCCCTGAGCTGTTAGGTACTCGCTGCCCGGACACCCTCTTCCTCCTCCTTACCCTCAGCCTGACCCAAATCTCAGGGTTTGTGGGCTGTTTGTCCTAGGTGGATCCCAGCCCTCCTTAGCCACAAGGCTAAGCCCATCCTCCTTAGCTGGGGGAAAGGGGTAGCCCACCACACGCAACCCACCTTTCCTTCCCAGGAGGTGGTGCGGAAGGTGGAGAGCACCAAGACAGACAGCCGGGACAAGCCCCTGAAGGACGTGATCATCGCAGACTGTGGCAAGATCGAGGTGGAGAAGCCTTTTGCCATCGCCAAGGAGTAGGGCACTAGGGACCTTTGCCCTCCGTGTGACCATCTGTGCCAGCCCCACTGCCCTCATGAGGGTGAAGGTAGCCCGGCCCCAGGCTCTGTGCTGCACTGGCCTGGTGCTGGAACCTGACGGAGCGGACTTGCCTCACATTCCGCAGGCCCAATTTTGTAGCAATCTACTGGTATCATTGCTGACCAATAAAAAAAAGTGGGTTTTTTTTTAATAACCTGTGTATGGCCTGGCTTAGGTCTGTAGTCCCCAACCCAAGTCTTCATCCCACCATATCAGGATTCTGCTGAGCCACTGGGTGCTTGCCCTATCCCCTGGCTCCCAAATTTCACAAGCTACTGTGCCTTGACCTAGGTTAAGGACTATACCTATGTCTCCCATCTACCTCTAAATTCTTTCCCTTTATTCTTTATCTCCTTCCCCTGCCTTGGCCCAGGGTGCTAAGACCACCCTAGGTGCCAGCGCATGCCCAGTTCAGAGCCTTGACAGGACAAGGCATGGTAGAGTCCTGGATCCGGGCCAAAAGATGACCCACCCTTGGCTCCTTGAGTGGCCCTCACAGGACTGAGGCACATGGCTCTCCTCACAGGTGGCCATGAGGCTCCTGACTTATCAGGGCATGGGTGGCAGAGGAGCAGGGTTACAGTCAGCCTTTGGCTGGGCTGGTGCTGGGCTGGTGCTGAATCCGTAGAGGCCTTGGAGCACGCCATTCACCACCACATCGGGCAAAGGCTCTGCACAAAGTAGATGGAGGAGGGCATGGCATGGGACAGGCCTGCAGCTCCCTGAGCTGCCAAGGTGGCGGATCCCAGCTGTCTACCCTTATGAGGCATTGGGGTTCCAGGCCATGTTCTGTTCATGTCAGCTTGGTACTCCAGGGTGCTGAGGAGTGGAGACCAGGGGAGCAGCCCCATCTCACTGGTGTCCACAAAGGCCACACAGCTACAGGAGCTGCCCCAAAGGGCAGCAGGAGGGAGATGCTGCCTGGGGTCCTGGGAGTAGCAAATGGTAAGGGCACCCCCACCCCACTGTGGGACCTAGACCCTGAATACAGACAGGTCAGAGGCGGCACCTCACCTGGGGAAGGGACAAAAATGTAGGGGTCCCTGCAGAAGCTGATGACAGGCCGATGGTGCAGCTGTGAGCTGGGAGGAAAGAAGCTTGTGAGCCATGGGGTAGTGAGGAGGGAGACGACATCCATCCCACATGTATGGAGACTAGGGACAGGTGGCCAAGGACCCACAAAGGGAAGGGAGTGGGGGAGTGGGGGCAGGAGGCGTCAGAAGTCAGAGGACCGGGACAGGCTAGAGGCTGCAGCCAGCCTCCTCGCACATGGCCACCAGGGGGCAGCAGGCGGGCGCGGCCAGGGCTTTGACTTGCCTGCTGCTGTCCCTAGGCGGGAAGTCCCCCAGGGTGCTGAAAAGAAGAGAGGCTCTGTAAGCTATCTGAGGATGCCCAGGGGGAGTTGAGGAAGGGGTGGAGACACAAGCCCAGAACTTCACGTCCCATGGGACCACGCTTCTATTTGTAACGAGCCCAGTTCCGGAGGGGGCGGCAGCTGGGGTAACCAAGGTTGTCCAAACTCATTCTCTACATCAGGGTCAAGAAAGCCAACGGAGGTCAGGTCTCAGGAGAGAGGTGAGGTCCCAGGAGGGAGGACCAGCCTAGGGCTTGGCCAATGGGAGAAGGAAAAGGGCTCGTTCTTCAAAACCTTTCCTCACTCACATGCTGCCGAGAGCCCCTGGCCCTCCTCACCCCCAGCTGCTGGCCTTTGGGTCCACTGGGAAGTGTCGGAGTCTCAGGAATTCCAGTAACTCCTTGGGCACATCTTGGTTCAGGTACAGGATCCCCTAAAGAAGACGACAGGAAACCTATAATCAGACCCAGCTGCTACTAATCTGTTAGCTACAACTAATTTGCAGAGCCCAGTGCTAATGAGAATGTGAGGCCCTTTGTTCTGAAACAGTGAAGATTTCCAGGCAGTGAGAGCACAGCAGGGCCTTCAGAGCGCTGGGTCCTGCTGTGACTGCACAGGCTGATGCCCCATGAAGTGCCCGGCTATAACTCCTCATCCCGGCTCGGGGGAAGATCCCCACTTTACAGCCCATCAGGAGAGCAGTCAGGGCCTTAACCTGCAGGGAAAAAACTGCCTGCCTCCTTGTTGCCTCACTGAAACCTTTCAACAACCTGGAGAAGGATGCAGGGACTCGATACTGTCCAGGACACTGAAGCTGGGGTACTGAATAACATCCTCGAGTGGTGGGAGCCTCCCAAACCCTTGCACCGCTCTGTCTGCATCTCCCCCCCTGGTCCAGCTGGATAGAGGCACCCGACTGTGCCCCTCCACGTGCCCGGATAGAGGCACTTGAGTGTGTCCCCCCACACCCGGATGCACACACCCGAGCGTGGCTCCCCACACACCTGGATATAGGCCTCCAAACCCTGCCGCCGCTGTTCCAGGCTCCTGGTCCTCCAGTTGGGCAGGCGCTTCGACGGGAAGTCAGGCACTTTGTACAGTTTCTTAATCTGCGGGGAGGTCACCGAGGTGTGGCCACAGTGTCCCAACAGAGCCCTCCAGCCTGCTTCGCCCTAAGCTGAGCCAGTCCTCCCTGCAACCCTGAGACTCCAACCCAGGCAGACCCTGATGAGTGGTGGTGGTGGTGGTGGTTTAGACAAGGGTGAGGAACGCCCAAGAGCGGGCTGGGCTCTCAGGGACAAGGTCAGAGGCGGCTGGAGTCGCCCTCACGCGCCCAGGAACGCTGGGACCCAGCTCTGGCGCCCCCGGCCGGCTCACCCGCTTGTGCAGCGCGTGGAACTCGCTGTACCGCCTGTGCACCGAGTGCCTCCGCCCGCGGCACCGCACCTCCACGCGGAACACCTGGCGGCGGAGGCGCGCGTGAGGCCCCTCCCGCGCCCCCCCCCGCGCGCACCTGGGGGACCGGCGGCGGACGCGCCCTGACGCGCTCCGGGGACAGGGACCCATCCCGGGTCCTGACGACCTGGTGGACAGCGTACGCTCGGCGGGGTCCCTGCGCCCCTCGCCATCCCGCGGGCACGCTCACCATGTGGCCTTTCTCCGGGCTCTGCCTGGGCTCCTCGGGCTCCGGCCCCACCGACGGGATGTGAACTTCCAGCATCGGCGCTCGGCTGCCGCCCCTCCAGGCGCACACTCAAAGGGCGACTCCGCGGGAGCCTGCCCCGACCCTGCGGACGCCCCGCCCCCGGCCCGCCCCGGCGCTCCACCGCCCGCTCCTCGAGCTGCGAAGATGAGGCGGGGCGCCGGGCTTGACACCGCCCCTTCAGCCTGTGGGGGCGCCGCGGGGGAGCGGCCCCCGCAGGGTCACTCGTGTGCCACACATTTCCTGTCGCTCACTGACGGCCAGGTACGCGCGAGCTGAGATTTTACCTGTTCTTTGTTGAGCGCTCAGGAAGGGCTGAGGCCGGGACAGGGGCGCGGGGGCGCGGCGGGGAGGGGGCTGGGCCCAGGCTGAAGACCTGGGCGACTGGGCTCGTTGCCCTCACACAGGCCTGGGGGAGGCTTGGGTCCAGTCCGGCCTTACCCCCACCACTATCAAGACCCAGGAGGTGGGTGGGGTTGAACCGAGGCTCTTCGCACTGTGCTACATCCCCAGCCCTTTAATTTTTTTTTTTTTTTTTTTTTTTTTTGAGAGAGAG